TTTTGCCACGTGATGTTATCCGCAAACATGGGAACGAAACTAGTATTTTTAAAGGTATCCACGGTTTCATTTGGAGCATAGGTGAAGAGTGACTGGGATTGGTTGATTTGCCCTAAAAGAACATCAAAAACAGCATGAAGATTTGCTTTGGAACGAGAGCTATTGTCGCATTAAAGTGGATAGATTGTCTTGGAAAGTTTTTTTTTTTTGTATTTTAAGAAAGTTCTAAGAGAGTTTCCACGGTCTTCTGTTTGGGTCAAGAACCTCCTTATTTTTATGAGGGTTTTTATTAAATCTTGTCATGTTTACTCACTGAGGTTAGAGAAGAATTAATAAATTTTCATCCCAACTGGATTATTGATTAGTGACCATACATAAGACTATGGTTAACGGTTGAGTTTTCACCACCGAAAAGTTTATCCGTTTATTTACGTGTAAGATGAAGGACTATATTGATACTTGAGCAAGACTCAGACCTTGGCGATGAAGGCCAGTTTCGAACTTTCGAAAAGATTTTCCAAATCGTAGTGCATTCTATATTTACCTTAGCTTGAAGAAAAACTGTCCAACGGTAGAAAACTATCAAGGAAGGAAATAGCTTTAAATATAATTACATTTTACACCAAACCCGAAGTGAATCTCTCTCAACGTTGAAGATGATGGCAAAACTGATCCATTAGGCAATGTAAAGTCGTCATCTGGGTTATCGTTCCACGTTCCCAGCAAGCCTTTGGTGGTATTCTTGTAAACGTCTGCTGGAGTTACGACGAACGACAGCATCTCCTTTTTCTCACAAAAATTCACCGACATTGTTGACGGAAAAGAAACCTGTAAACAGTTTTCTTCCGATTTTGAGACAGAAAGGTTTCTACCAACTTCTACACTTTGGTTTGTCAGCTTGTCGTAGTATTCGTACTTTTCTTGGTCTATCAGGATATCGAGTCCACCTAATAACATGAAAATCAATTGCACATATTTGCGTTTCAGTAAATTTGAAAATAAAAATGACGGCTATAAACATCCTTCGATTTACGGCAAATTACGCCATAATGACTAGAAATGGCCGAAGTTTTGTTTTTCAATGGTTTCTAAGAAACAGAGATTATCACATATGCTAATATTCTTGAACAAAGCAGATGTAGTGAGCCAGAAATTTCACATCTACTTTTTTAATATCTCAAGGCATAGAGGTTTGATTGCTCTTTAGTATCCCTCACCGCCTTCCTTTACTCGGACCTCAATGGTGCTCGTATTTTTTTCTTTCGCTGCGCCGGCTGAGAAAATAGTGGCGGTTGTTGAATTTCCCTGGGCAGCTTTTGTTCTGGCCTGTAGCTGGAATGTTCCATTTTGTGCATCAATCATGACGTATTCACCAAGTCCATTGAACGTGTAATTCCCATCATCCAGCGTTTTAATGTGAGGATCGCCCCAGAACCAACCTGAATTAACAATGAAAGCGAGCAGTTAAACAGAGTACGTGGGTAACTAGCCAAGTCGCAAGTCTTTGCTGTTACTTGTAGGATTGCCCCCGAGCTGAAAAGTCGATGTCTCAAGTATTGCTGGTAATGAAAATAGGAAATTATAAAACCAACGAAATAAGTAATTTTACTTGAAATTGTAAAACAGGCGATTTACGTACTTATGCGATTAGATTCGACATAAATCAATAAACCAACTGTCATATTACGTCATACCACGTGCTCCCATAGGGCATGGGGAGCTCAAAAGTGAATGACTCGGGAACCGCCATATTATCCGCTTATGTTTTACGCGGTATTCGTTGCGTTTTTAAATAGAGAACTTAAAAGGCAATATTGTGGCACCATCAAGCAACAAAAGTGTATGGCATGACTTCAGTTGAAGTTGCGTGGTGGCACGCTATGTCACGTGACATGACATTACATTTTATGACAACATACTATAATATACAGTAACACTTACGTCTTGGTGGAGGACTGTAAAGGGAACAGCTATCAGACGGACGATAAAGGTAAAACTGATTGCACAAAGGTATGTCAACGCAGCAATATTGATAGGCCTCCTCGTCCAAGGAGAACGTTTTCACGTGATTGTACCAGTAATGGAAAGCTGTCACTTTCACATGACCGCCGTCAGGAGGACCAAGCTTGAGAGATCCCCAGTCTCTCCAGTCAGTGGAGTAGCAACATTCCTGTCTCAGCCAAAGTCCAACTAATCCTGTTAGTGTAGAATAATAATATACGAATTTGGAACGTCTGGATTCATAACAGACTTCAGGCCACGAATACCACCAGCTCCAGGAGAATCTTCCCCAGTCCAGCCACGCTTGCCACCAAGTACAAGGACATGCCATCTCCGGGTCTGATTTTATTAAGATGTGGTACAAGTAACGAATGTTCGCGAATTCATTAAGAAGAGCCCATGATAAGCACTTCTCCCGTGCACCTGTCCCATCGCTGTCCTCGATCCTCCAAAAGTACCTTCCCAACGAACCCGTATTTCCTTCTTTCTTATCAAGATCATACATTGCAAATGTAGCCGAGCTGAAATATGAAAAATGCGAAAGTAAAGTTCACACTTTTACTCAAGAAGATGAACAATTTTTTATTGAGTGTCGAAAAACCAAAGCTGAAGTTCTAGCCAATCAGGAAAGACACAGATAATACAGTGAACCAATCAAAACTCTCTAGGAAAATATTTGTAACTGGCACTAAACGTGGGAAAAGGTGCGAGCGGGTCACGTTGGGTTTTGGTTTTACTTCTGGATGGTTGAATAAGTGGCGCCATTTTTTTTTTTTCTACCAATCAGAAGCGTAATAGTTATACTTGTGTAAAAAGTTTCATTTTTGTAATGTAGGACGACTGCAGTTAGCACAGCACAAGAGTTTCATTGTAGTAAACGACGCAACGATAGAATAAGTATGAAATTGTCCCTATTTTTAAACTCTCTCTAACTCTCTCTAACTCTGCTCTTCTTCTGCTCTTCGTAAATTTAACTTCTCACTCTTTGTGGTTTTTATAATCTTTGCCATCATTTCCTGCGTTCCAGCCAGCGACAGGAAGACCATAGTAACTAGTCCAGTAACGGTAATTGTCTCTGCAAGAATAAAAGTTACACAACTTGTATGCTTTTTCCCTCAGTGGCAAGACGAGCAACAACAACAAAATAACAACAGCAAAATTATCACCAAATTAAAAAAAAAATTAGCATCATCACCAACAACGGTGACAAAATAACAAGATCGATGGCTAGACGGACGGGAAAAGTGATTGATATATTGATTTCCACTATTAAGCCATGGTCAATCTTCAGACGCATAAGCCTAACTCATTTCTCACTTGCGATCGCTGATTGGAAACAATGCAAATCCACTTACGGATCCGCTGGAACCACCCACTGAATTCCACCATCAGGGTAATTGTACATCAAAAATGTGTTTAATCCATCCGTAATTATGACAGCTTGAAAAGTGTTACTCTGAAAGGGAAATTAAAGTAAAGTAAGATTTCAAATGAAAATGCAAGAAAATGCAGTAACCCATGTCAGCGATCAAAAAAAGCAAGTCCCTTAACGACATTAGACGATCGACAAAAACGTACTACGTCTTTCTTCAGTTAAATGGTTTTTTGCAACTTCTAAAGTATACTTTTTTCAGTCTTGTTCTTATGGACCCACGAGATCACTACAGGTTCAAGACTCTAATAATTATCGAATTCCCGAATAGTTTATAAAACAGCACGTACGGCAACTCGAGCAGTTTTAGGAGTAACATTATGAGAAAAGCTAGTTACTAGTTTATTACCCAATCAGAGAGTGCAAAAGGCTCTACCGATTCACTGTTTCCACAAACTATACTAAGCAAAGATCAGCAGAAGAAAGACGAAAATGAAATGCATAAGAAAAAAGGTTTATCGGAACGTTTTCTCCGTAATAATGGGGACTTTAAGATATAGTAGGGCTAGGCTATAGTGCGCGGCAAATGCTGAAGATCACTTTCGGTGAGGTCATGACGCGCGTTCCAGTATGGCTTTCCCGCCGTAGCCTTGCTTTCTACTACGGAAAGTGCCGGGTTTCACGTGAGTGTAAGCCTGCTGTTTACTTCTCATTTTAACGCTTTTTTCACTGTTTGAACCGCCTAGTTCAAAGATGATGTACTCAATCCTAAAATTCCGTTCTAAGATAATTGTTTCTCTGTCATTTGTACAGACAATTTGAACGATTTAAACATCTACCGTGAGGGACAGTCAGATTTGTACCTGGCCGAACAGCAACTACAAATAAGAAAGCTTCGTATATACTGAGTTGAGCTAGAATTGGTTTTTGCTGTTGAAAATGTACTTCAGTATTAGAACGAAAAGTTTTGTATTTTCGGGCTTACCACATTGTACAAATACTCTGCTCGTGCTGAAATCGAGCTTTTTATAAGTGTTAATTTTTTTTGTGAGTGGAATTACAGGCGGTTCTAAAAGCGTGCATCGGGGAGGCAAATCTAAGATCTGGGAGATGTAGGACGGATACATTAATACGTCATTAACCCAGCCTACGTAGTATGAAAGTAGAATAATGTCCCTGGTTTCCTTGAACGAAGCCATTTTTGTAAAGACACGTAGAGGCTGCACACGCCGTTGCCGTACAGCGAAATCATAATCCGTTTGAGCTTTGCGGAGAAAGAGGCGTTGTCAGCCCAATCTCTCACGGTCAAAGTAGCCGTAATAGTAGCTCGCCGTAGCATATCTTAAAGTCCTAATAGCATTGGTAGTAGCAGTAATATGGATAATAGACGTCTTACCTAACGACAGTTGTTGTCGTAATCGTAGTAATAGACGTATGGACCGAACTTGTGCCAGGTCACGACAAGAACCCAAATGGCAGCAAAGTTGACAAATTCTATTCACTATTATACTAATCAAAGATAAGCTTAAGAAAGAAGAAAAAGAAATGCTTACCCAGGGACAGTTTAAGGGAAAGTTTTCCCCAGAATAATAGTATCTGTAGTAGTAGTAATATGGATAATAGACGTATGGACAGAGCTTCTGCCAGGTCACGACAAGAACCCAACTGGCAGCGAAGTTGGCAAATTTTTTACTGTCGCCATAGCGCTTTACATCTTGTGAGGCCATGTTGAGGATTTCAGAAGAGCTTTTCTTGGTTTGGCTGTATACTTGATAATATACCTTGGAATGATCAGCTCTAAAGGCAAAGTGCGTATCAGTCGTGGCCCAGAACGGTGCAATAATTGCCATATTTCTCAGCCACCAGTAGACACCAAACTTCCTTGGCCACCACCAGCTCCATTCATAATTCAACTGGATTATACCATTGCGGCATATCTACAAAATGAAGAAAATGTGTTTAGATTAAAGCACACCACATCAACTCTTGTTTGGCAAAGAGCGAGTATTACACGTGTGTACTAATTTCTTATTGGTTAACTCTGTCTCACTGACTTAATTACGGAGATGAAATCTGTTATTAGTACTGCTACCTGATGGGATGCTAATCCATCAAGGAACACATTTATATTCCAGGATGAATCCAGACATCACATTATAGAGTCAACACGAAAGCCCTACAGTAGAATATAGTTCACTTTAGTAAATAAAAGCGAAGAGGTTTATATACTTATGTGAATGTCCACAAATAGAGCGTTTCCAATTACGTGGCCAACAGCAATGCAATTTTATTGGAATGAAAGAAAGTGTTTACATAAGAAAAGAGTTCAACACCCTCAGGATTGGCTTGAAACACCGAAATGGCCGCCGTAAAAGGATGCCAATATGGCTGCGGTTACGTCATTTTGAAAACACGCTATATACTTACATGCAGCTTGTAATGCCTCTCCGAGAAGAATGGAAATCCAGTCCAATCGGTGTCGATCCTCAAGCAGTGGGAGGAGGAGAAGTATGGAGAGTCTTCAAGACGAAACTCGTTATCATTCTGCTGCGGGCCGTATGGATACATATTGTCCTCCTTTGGAGCAGCTTCAGTGAAATAGGCGAATGGATCAAATTAAGAATTACAGTTAATCAGCAATATATCAAAGCCATGATTAAAGGACTGCTTGAGCTATGGCGCTTACCTAGTTGTTTTTTAGTTGTTGTTGTCGTTGTTGTTGTTGTTACATCCCTATCCTTTTATTCTAATATTAGTCTGTGCTGTATCAGTAAGACTTAGCTGGAGAAACTGGTAATTGCTATAATATTTGTTTATATTGCTTGTTGCACGAGATAGTCACCGAAAAATGTGGAACGTCACACTTCGAACTTTCTTGTCCTCCGATAATGGCCTCAAGGCGTTTGCATACACATGATACCTGGCTCATTTTGCCTCACGCAGAGTCTTAATAAAATCAATTGTATTAACAGAAGAGAAATAGAACCCTTACGCGATATTATTGCTACTCACTTGTTGGATCTGGGGTTGTTGTCGCTAACAAGAAAAAATGGTAAGAAAAATGTGAATATCAGATACTTGACAGTCTTTTTTAGTTATACGAATACGTATGTAGATAGGTAATGAGACAATGTTTTAAATGCAGAATGAACTTAACTACAGTAGATTGCACAGCAGTCATTGTAGCTGAGGTAAAGACAAAATACCAGCAAAAATCATTAACGTTATTGAGACTAAATTTTGGGGTCACAAACGTTAGACGTAATAAGGATTGTAAGCATGATCGTAGCACTGACTGTATTACAATGCTAGCTATTTTTTTTTCGTAATAGTCCGTCAGGAAGAGAGTTAACGACTATCTCATTGACGAGGAAGCGTCCTGACTCAAGTACGTCGAGTAACTGGACGAGACGAAATCACCCGGACTGGTCAATTCTGCAACTGCTGACGCACTTGTTGTCAGAGAAAGAGCTGAGGTAGGAGACACACTGGCTGATATGTTGTCTGATTGGTTAAACACTTTTGCATCGCACTAGTACATTTTTGGAAACATTATTGTAGCATCAACTAAAATTGTATGGATACATATTTTTCTCCCTTGGAGCGGCTTCAATGAAATCAAAAAATAAAAATAAAAATGTATAACTTATATATAGCTTGTTGCACGATATGGCCACCTAAAAATGCAGAACACCACATTTCGAACTTTCTNACTAGTACATTTTTGGAAACATTATTGTAGCATCAACTAAAATTGTATGGATACATATTGTTCTCCCTTGTAGCGGCTTCAATGAAATCAAAAAATAAAAATAAAAATGTGTAACTTATATATAGCTTGTTGCACGATATGGCCACCTAAAAATGCAGAACGCCACATTTCGAACTTTCTTCGATAATAACCTTAAGGACGGTGCCTACTTTTGTTAGTGCGCACACATTCTCCGCATCACGCAAGGCATGGTTTAAGCGCCGCGCACGCGCTAAGGTTGACAATGACGCGATCAACTTCGCTACCAAATACACGACTAAATTGAAAGCAAAATTTTCCCCTGTGACAAAATCAAGTTTAATGAACCTGTACTTAAATTAGGAACACCACTATAGTAGCATATCGCTAAGCACCAACTGTTACCGTCATCCGGCTGAAAAACTATCTGTAAACCTCTCGAAAATTATACTGAAATCCAGCTGTAAACACGTACCTGCAGATGACCTAGTGCGCGAGCAAAACAAGTGCGAGATACGCAATTGTTTTACTTACCAGGGAGATGACAGGGGAAAATGTAACGGGCACCGTGAAAGTTTTCAAAAAAGATGAATAACTTTTAAAAACGTGTGGTTACCCCTACATTTTATGTCATGAAATGGAAGTGGCAAGCCTATTCAACACGTGATTAGTTTCTGG